GGGGGGCTGCAGTGATGGTTGACTTTCTACAACTTTCTCCCATCTCCCGACTGCATCTCTGGAGCTCAGCCACAGTCATCTTTGGGTTCTTCTGTACCTCTCTCACCAAGGCTCTTCTCCTCCGATAGCTCAGTTTGGCCGGACGGCCAGCTCTAGGAAGGGTTCTGGTCGTCCCAAACGTCTTCCATTTATGGATTATGGAGGCCACTGTGCTCTTTGGAACCTTAAGTGCAGCAGAAATTTTTTTTGTAACCTTGGCCAGATCTGTGCCTTGCCACAATTCTGTCTCTGAGCTCTTCAGGCAGTTCCTTTGACCTCATGATTCTCATTTGCTCTGACATGCACTGTGAGCTGTAGGGTCTTGTATAGACAGGTGTGTGGCTTTCCTAATCACATCCAATCAGTATAATCAAACACAGTTGGACTCAAATGAAGGTGTAGAACCATCTCAGGGATGATCAGAAGAAATGGACAGCACCTAAGTTAAATATATGAGTGTCACAGCAAAGGGTCTGAATACTTATGACCATGTGATATTTCAGTTTTTCTTTTTTAATAAATCTGCAAAAATGTCAAATTCTGTGTTTTTCTGTCAATATGGGGTGCTGTGTGTACATTAATGAGGAAAAAAATGAACTTAAATGATTTTAGCATATGGCTGCAATATAACAAAGAGTGAAAAATTTAAGGGGGTCTGAATACTTTCCGTACCCACTGTATGTTAAGTTACAGCAGGTTCATGGTGCAGACCAGAATATGGATCAGTAAGTGGATCGGCCCTGTCCATCCGATATCCATTGAGTGAATTATGTCAATATTTGGACCCGCTATAGGAACGGATCAGGCCCATCTCTAAAATGTGGGAACTGGTATAAACAGGCTGCTAACGTAAGTAATCAGCTGTGTGAGAGAACAACTTCCTACAGACAAATGGTTGTTGCCCTCACCCTTCATGGACTCTGACTTTGCGCCTTCGATAGTCACTTTGATCTTGCTCTTGTCTGCCAGCAGTGCCCTGGTGGCCTTATGAGAGGCTTCCTCCTGCTCCAGCTCCTGCTGCAGCACCTTCAGCTTGTAGGTCAAATCGATCTCCTTGTTGCTCTTCTCCTGTAGAGAAAAGAAAAAACAAGGACGATGGTGTTATGATTAACCCAATGGAACGCCAGGAGCAAAATGTAGCCATGAAGCATGTAAAAAACCTGCACATTTTCACCCATGCAAACAATAAGAGCAGTAGGATAGCACTCAGAAATGTATTAGTGTAAATCATGCACCAACCTCATGGAAGGATTTTAGTGAATTTACATACTTATCTACGTATATTGTCTAGGAACAATGCTTTTTAAAGACAAGGAACAAAAGACTAAAAAGCTCACAAACAAAGAACGGCGTAAACAATAATCAACTGATTAAAGCAGTATTCCGATTGCCGTTGTGAAGAGGGTTGCCATAATGTTCTTATGTAATCTCCAATTTACATCATGTGATTTCTGTGATAACATCTAAAGAATGAATGTTCCAGCCTCTAAAATTGCCATTCGTATGTCATCTGTTTTGATGCTCCCACTGCAGCAAACATCATAAAGAAAACACCACCAGCAAAGATGGTAGTTTTCCACTGATGCCAAATGTCTGGCAAATACTCAAGACTGAGTTGTATTCAATGTGTGACTCATATTATAAGACAATGTACAAATTAAGACAAAATACAGTAAGTGAGGTTCCATTTTTAGTCTGAGTTACCTTCTCCAGATCAGTGAGTTTCTCCTGGAGCTGTCTCTTCTCAGTCTCAGCTTTAGACAGAGACTGTCTCTGCTGACGTGCCTCCTCCTCCAGGCTAGAGACTCGGCCTGCATGACAGAACCAAGAGATTCCTTAGAGAAGAGAACACAAATCTTCCAACACATGCATATAACATACAACAAACCAAACAATTTCACTGTATTCTCACACACAACTGCACCCTACACCCTATCAAAGCACCAGCAAGCAGCTCAGGGATTTTTGTTTTCTTGTCCACCTCAATAATGATGTGTGCATGGACGGCAGCAGCACTGGGCAACTTCCAACTGTGAGCGTGCAGTTTTTTTTCCTAATAATGCCATGTGCCACAATCAGTTTGTTTATATATACACTACCAGTCAAATGTTTGGACACCCTTTCCCATTCAATTAAAAGAGAAAGTGTGTATGAAATTTTGACTGGTAGAATAAGACAACGTGTGTATGAAATTTTGACTGGTAGAATACAATACACACGATACCCTGATTACTCAAAGTAATAGGCTGTTTATATGAAGTGTGTAGATGTTCAAAATCAAAACATTGCCTGAAGCTTTTCTCCTACACCCAGTCTGAAAAAGCAGTTCATTGCACATTCAATGAGCTACACTGATATGTTAATGTAACATTTGTAACATATGGAGACGAACAGCCACAGTTTGACAAAAGCCAAAAGAACGCTGACTGAAGCATTTTCACTCTCAAACAAATGGAGGGACTGAGTGGAAATCTGGGCATTAACTGAGCTGTGTTTGCTTCCAGGATGACCTCACCTCAATAAATACAATCAGATAAACTCTTTTGTACATTTAAATAGCCAGAGTACTTTCTGAATCAGATCATGCTTGAACATTTAGCCTTGATGTAAATACACGTATTAAGACTACAGCTGACTAAGGCTGGAAGGCCTCTTTGGTGTGTTGTTCTTGTCCACAGAGCTGCCCTAGTGAATCTGCTATGTAAGCTGCAAAGAGGGGGAAGGAAAATGACTTAAAGTGGCAGAGCTACTACATTTTTATCCAAGGAATGTCATTTGCACTTTATAAAAAACAGATAACATTATCAACAATTCGTCAAATCAGCATTTCATACACAGAAGTACCTTCAATTTTTATGTAATATTCAACCTGCAACTCTGCAGCCATATATTCATGACCATGTTTATATGTTGGGGGTCTTGTGACGCATTCTCCATGCAGTGCCAAAGCCAGTGTGTAACGAGCGAACCAGCCTTGTATAACCGGCGTACAGTTGTGTCCATGTCCTCAGCAAGGAGTCGAACGCCAGTGATCTCCAGCATGCACTGTCATGATTCTGTCCTGCCTGTTTCCGGTCTTGTGCTTTTATTTTGACAACTTTTGGCACTGGGGCACACTGCAGCTGAGTGTCAAGAGGCTAGGATGTCTGAGGTCATGGTCCTCTGCCAGAAGACAGTGGATTGCTTCCTTTGTGTTGGAAATTAACTGCTGCCCCATTCAACTGAAGCACATATCTCAGGATCTTGTTCACAAGTGAGGTTAAAATGAAGCGTGACACTGACAGGCAGACTGGGGCAGTAACATGGGCAATGTACCGGACTGTTGTGGTAAAGAGGGACCTAAGTTGGAACACAAAGCTCCCAATTTACCAGCTAATCTATGTTCCAACCCTCACCTCACCTATGGCTCAGGCAAAAACTACAAAGGCTGCTCCTTTGTGTCTCAGGGAGTGAGCTGAGGTGGTTCAGGTGAGAGATTAGGATACTTCCTAGGCACCTCTGGAGGTTTTCCAGGTAAAGTAAGTACAACTGGTAGGAGGCCCTGGGAATACACTAAAGAGATTATACAGTATATCCCATCTAGCCTGGGAATGCCTCAGGATTCCCCAGAAGCAGCTGGAACACAACTACAAGGGATAGGGATGTCTGGAATACCTTGCTGAACCTGCTGCCACCGGGACCTGACCCAGTAAGTGGTAAAAAATGCATGGACAAAAATAACATTTAATTCGCTTTTAAAAGCAGACATGTTTATAGACTTGCCAGACAATGGAGACCTCTTTCCACAACCTCTATCACACACTGTGCATGTGTCACCCACCCATAAGGTCGCTGATGGTCTCGGAGCCCTGGCTGTGCTCCCTCCTCTCTGTCTCCAGTGCGGCCTGCAGGCTGATGCATTCCTTCTCCAGACTCAACTTGCTGCGCTCCAGCAGGCAGCATTTGTCCTGCAGCTCACGTATGTTGACCTCCAGCTGCTGCAGCTGCTTGCTGCCGTCTGTCTGGGCTTTACGGAGCCTTGTTGCCGCCTCTGACTCGGCCCGCAGCAAAGTGTTGGCTTCTTCCAGCTGGCAAGGGTAATGTTGCAAAAGATATTTGCAGATTAGTCAGCACTTTGATTTGGTTTACTTATTGCTTCTCTATTTGTTAGTACATGATTGGATATTTTGCTGAGGAAAAAAAAACAGACTGGGTGTAGTTTCTCTTACACAATTTAGCATTCACTGTTTCAGAACATTCTACAAATATATTTCTGTCCATGTAAAGGCTTTATGAACTAGGCTTTTTATACTTTACAGACAAAACAAACCTGACTGACCTGTTTCTGCAGGTGAATGTTCTTCTCATTGGAAATATGTGAATTCTGATTTCTTCTCTTCAGGTCATCTAGCTGGTCTCGAAGACTGTTGACTGCACGACACAGAAGAACAAAGACAGAAATGTCAAATGTTGCTTTATTTAGCTGTATTAAATGTAATCACTTGTACTCAAGGAGCTTGCTATTCCTCAAGAGAAGAACAATTCTATCAAAAAGTCATGAGCATTAATATGGCAAATCATTAAATAGCCACAGATTGTACCAAAGGCAAGTAAACTGGAGGGCAAAGCAAAAGACTGCGCCTATGAACCAGTTTTACTCTGATGAGAATCTTTAAACACTGAGTGGTGTCAATGGCCAGGTGATGGCAGCATTCTTCTGTCCCAAATAAAACAAAACAAGAAGCTTTTACTAAATTCATACAGAAAGCTGTCAAACAAGAGGCTTTATGGAAAATGTCCAAAACACAACGGATGCTTAAAATTTGCCACTACTTGTAAAACAACATATTTGAATGTGCCACTCTGTAAACCAAAGAGAAACATTAAGCAACACAATAAGTCAATTGCATCACATTGGTACATAGTTTTGTCTTATTAAAACTGATTTAATTATTATCCTTCACATTCTTCTTCTTACTACTAATAAACTAGAACTGAATTAATACACATTCAGTACAGCTGGTTAGCTGTACACTGAGATGTCCAGCTGTATATACAGAATAGGTAATAAAAGCTCGTCTTTTTGTCTGCGGTTACCTTCATTCTCCAGGCAGCGCTTCCTGTCAGCTTCGCTCTCGGCCTTGCGGTGGCTCTCCAGACTCTTGTGCTGCAGCAGGGCCTTCTCTCTCTCCAGCTGCCTCAGACTCGACTCCAGGTTCTTTCTGCTGCTCACCTGAAATCGTCATTCAATGCTTAGTTCAACATGTCCCATAGGACTGGTTTCACAGTGCAGTGATTCCACATCTTATATTATGAGAAATGGTTCACGAGAATCAAATCAGTGTTTAACACAAATCTAATCTCAACAGACAATGTAGCTGTATTAGAGCCTGGCAAGCACTCCAGCTGAACCTCGCTGGATATGACATATTGGTATTCGAACCGAAACATGGTTAAGTGTGGATAACAAGAAATCGGCATTCTAACTTTAATACAGTTTTTGGGAAGGGCCATAAAAGAGATAAAGGAACGTATACACTCCTGGAAAGAAAGGTGGGTTATTGTGGAAAATATTAAAAGTAGGACAAAGCCAAAAAATTCTTCAACAGTGGCAGGGGGGTCCGAAACATGGTTAAGTGTGGATAACAAGAAATCGGCATTCTAACTTTAATACAGTTTTTGGGAAGGGCCATAAAAGAGATAAAGGAACGTATACACTCCTGGAAAGAAAGGTGGGTTATTGTGGAAAATATTAAAAGTAGGACAAAGCCAAAAAATTCTTCAACAGTGGCAGGTGTCTACACTGTATAATTTTTTTTTTTACTGTCTTCAAAATGATTAGCCCACCTCTTCCTCAAGTTCTTTAGAGATTTTGTCCAGACGACTAGTGGCAGCTCTGCCGAAAGGAAACAGGACATTTATAAGACTTCTGACAATTGGAACCACTTTGCTTAAGTATGTTATTAGTGCTACTCCACCTGTATTTGTGCTCTAGATCATCCTTGACCTGCTTCTCGTTCTTCAACTCCACCTCCAGGTGGTGAAGTTTCTTCTGCAATGCTGCTGACTGTGGAGAGCAAACAGAAAACAGTCACACATTGTGGTCACTTAGGACTGCTGAAATGTTCCAGTAAAGAAACTGACTTTAATGCATGCCATCCATCCTGTGACGCACATGTGTTACAACTGCTTCACTGCATAACTAGCACTTGTCAGGATTTTTTTTAAGTGTATAGTGATGAAAAAGAATTACAATGTTTCAGAAAAGGGATTAGGACTATGTGATCATTACATGCATTAAAAGGTGATATGTTATCCTGGTTAAGATGTTGTAATGAGCATATTAGCAAGCAGTTGCCTAGTTACACATCCAGCAAACAGAGCAACATTAGCATTCATTCTATTTCTGGCCAAATCAAACATTCACTCTCTAGCATGTGTTTAGTCTCCAGCAACTCCTGAACAAAATATTGGTGTATTTAGCTATAAAATGCTTTTCAGTAGATGTCCACCAGCTAGTGACCAGCTTTGCCTGTCAGCTGTTGGGTGAGAGGCAAGTAGTGTAGAGTAGTGGGTTTATCAGGGCCTTTTTACTGCTTCATCTGAAAGCAATTCTGATGAGTGACACAATCAATGAGCTGAAAAATGCTGAAAAGCTTCATAGAACTGAGGAGTCAGGTTTATTCCTCTGGGTAAGTCAACAAACAGGCCCTTTCACATAACACAGACAACTGCTACTTTGTTAAGAAAAAAAAATTTGATTATAGCAGCTTTAAACATTTTATTTAAACATAGAGGATAAACTATCTTCAAGTTTTCTGGGCATTACAAAAAGCCAGTAACACCTAAAAATAAATATCATACTCCTGTTTAACACTCATACACTATCAGTTTTTGCTAATATTAAAATAAACGATCCAATTCTATACATAATATTATAAACAACATTTTGCAATCAGAATAATAATAAACTGAAAATTAAACATGTACTTCCTTTGAAGTGGTTGCCAACTGTGATCAGTGGCAGCCTTTAGGACTGAAGTCGAAGTTTTAAGCTCAACCACTTACACTGAAAGCTGCTTAAGAATAAGGATAATCACCTTTATTGGCCAATTATGTTACACACAAGGAATCTGTTTCTGGTACAGAGCCAGGTCTCTATTAAGACTTCCTGAAAGCTGTAGGAAAGCTAACCAAGTGATTAGATGTGTCAGGTGTCATTTTGTCCCGTTCTTCCTGCAAAGAAGTCTTAAGCTGCAACAGTCCTGGGTCTTCATTGATGTAATTTGTGTTTCAAAATGCACCACACACTCTCTATTGGGGACGGGTGGGGACTGCATGCAGGCCAGTCCAGCACTCGGCCCCTTTGGGCCACTAAATCAAGGAATCAAGAAAAGAAACCCTCTTTTGAGTCATTTCCACCATAATCCTTAATGTCTTTCAGTATGATGGGGGACTGATCACACAGTCAGCAGGCCCAGTTCACTCATGTAAACTGATGCCTGCCTTATGGACTTCCTCAGACACTTGAGTCAATCTGTACTGTTGAAGTTGCTTGAACAGGCACCTACCTCTCCTTTCGAATTCTCATGAGTCACTGAGGAATTGTTGCTAGCATTTAGTAACCTGAAGGAGGAAACAAAGAAAATCAACACAAAGTCAAGAACACAGCTGAGAGCAAAACTATAAAAAAAAAAATAAAAAAAAAAAGCAGTGATCTGCCAACAATGAATGAGGACAGCTGCAAAAGCGGACAGCTTACTCATCTTCTTTGAAGTAAGTGAAGCCAACAAAGGGAAGCTGATTTCCAACAAAGGCCTTAGGTGTGGGTATAGTTTCTACATCGCCTTTGTCATCTTCAATCTCATCAAAGTTACTGGTGTCGATGTCACTGCTCAACTCTGGGACCACAGGGGCGACAGCTGTGGAGCAGGGCGAGAGAAAGGAAGAGAGGAAAAAGGCAGGCGTGAACTGCAGGAAAAAGGAAGTGCTGTGTAAACACGACCTGGGAGTTTCAGACTAATAAATAATTGTGTCTTTTACTGTGATAGTCCAGCGGTTCTGGACTATGTGCAGTTCTGTACTAATGCTGCCTACCTACAAAGTCCATCAGGGTTTTTCCAAACCAGAAACCATGGTTGGACAGTACAGTGTAACCTCTGCTCAAAGCTCGGGACTAGTGTTGCTTTCGTCAACAAAAATTATGACTAAATATCGTCGTCAACAAACCTTTATCAGGTGACGAAAACGAGACGAGACGCAATGAAAATGCTGGTCATGTGACGATCACTATAATTAAATGTATAACGCAATATTGTTGACGAAAAAAAACGAGACTAAATGTGCTTTACAAAATAAAAACTATGCTAAAATGTCTCCATTTTCGTTGACCAAAACGAGACGAAATGAAATGTTATAACGTTATTTCATCTCGTTTAGTCGCATTATTATTATTATTTTGCAGTATTTCTGTTTCCTGTGTCTCGCTTCAGGGGCCGCATCAGGTCACACTGCACAGACGCAGGTGACGTCACTTCTTTAAACCCTACTCGCGGCATTATTTAGAAGACGACAACAAACAAAGTTAAGTCTGACACAGAGAAAGGGACCGATGGCCGGCCAGCCGGGGTTCGTCATTGGGAGAAAAAAGAAACGACATTTGGAAAAACTTTCATTACATAGAAGTGGAAAAGAAAACGGAATGTGTTGTGGAAAAAGATGGGGAGAAATGTGGCTACAAAATCACACAAAATGTGTATTGGATGTATTCGTGAGTCTATAAGGTAACAATAGTAAGATAACCTTGTATGAAATGGGTTTGGCTAAAATATAATTTTGGTTTCGTCTATACTACTAGGTACTTATACTATTATTGACTGTATTAAATAGAATTGTATTACTAAAAAGAGACTAAAATACAATTTTCATTGACTAAAACTAGACTAAAATGTCATCAGTTTTCGTCGACTAAAACTAGACTAGACTAAAAAGAGTATGAATGTGACTAAAACTAATAAAAACTAAAATGACAGCTTCACACAAAGACTAGACTAAAACTAAAACATGATAACGGAAGATAAAATTTTTCCATAAAGAAAAGGATAATCACCTTTATTGGCCAAATATGTTACACACAAGGAAAGTGTTTCCGGTACAGAACCGATGGCAGCCATCTGCGGCGCCAACTCAAGTGATGGCTCTAACCATCGGGGACAACAGGGGGGTTCAGTGTCTTGCCCAAAGACACTTTGACACGTGGAATGCAAGCACCGAGATTCGAACCTCGAGCCTTTTGGTTGGGAGACGACTGCTCTATTCTCTGCACCACTATTGCCCCCGACAGCAAAGAATAGTGTAGCAAATTGACTTTTAATAGCTTTCTTTAAATTGATTCCAGCATATAAACAAACCTCTGATCTGCCGGATAAAACCACTCACCAAAACAGTTAAAGTGTGGATGGAGGAGGCTTCTTCAGCATTACAGGACTGTTTTGAGCACAGTGATTGTGGGGTGTTCAAAGAGAGCTCAGACCTGGAGGCTTATACACCAGCTGTTCTGTCCCTGCATCTTGCTTCAGTCCCTGTGTGCCTCAAGTCCTCCATCATTGTGCCTGTGCCCAAGAAATCAGCTGTCACCTGCCTCAGTGATTACCGTCCTGTTGCTCTGACACCAGTAATCATGAAGTGCTTTGAGAGGATCATCCTAAAGCACATCAGGGACGTCATCCCTGTTGGTCTGGATAGCCATCAGTTCACCTACAGAGAAAACCGATCAACAGAGAATGCTCTCAATAGCATTACACACAGCCCTGTCCCACCTGGAGCATCCTAACACTTATGTTAGGATGCTATTTGTTGACTTCAGTTTGGCATTTAACACTGTAATCCCAGACAAACTTGCACTGAAACTGCACAATCTGGGAATGCCTGCAGTGCTGTGTCATTGGATTAAGGACTTTCTCACCAACAGGCCTCGAGTGGTGAGAATGGGAAGCTGCACATCATCCACACTGGTCCTGAACACAGGCACAGTCCCTGGGCATCCACATCACATCTGACCTGACCTGGTCTCTGAACACATCCTACCCAGTGAAGAAAGTCCAGCAAAGACTTTTCTTCCTCAGGAAGCTGAAACATGCTGGTCTCTCCTCTCGTCTGCTCACAGACTTCTACAGAGCGTCAGTAGAGAGCATCCTCTGTCTCAGTGTGACAGTGTGGTACAGGAGCTGCACTGCACAGGACAGAAAGGACTTGACCCAGGTGGTGAGAACAGCTCAGGGCATTGTAGGGAGTCCTCTTCTGGATCTGGACTCACTATATGCTAACCAGATCCAGAGGAGGGCCAGATGGATTGCTGCAGACCCCACCCACCCTGGCAGCAGTCTGTTTGTGCCTCTTCCCTCCAGGAAAAGGTACAGGAATATAAAGACTAAAACAAACAGACTGAGACACAGCTTCTTCCCCAGATCTGTGAAATCAATCACCCCCCCAACCCCTAGTCACACACACAACCTCCCCCCTATGGACAGACACAGACAGAACACTGGACCTCTGCAGACACACACCCATGCTCACACCTCCTCCTAAAGACTGAGATTTGCACTGAGCTGCACCTTATAATGTTACTACACTCTTGCTGCTAACATGCTGCTGACCTGATTAGGTCCCATACATCCTTCTTTATTTGTTCATATTTTTATATTGACTTATACAATTGTGTGTTATGTAAATAATGTGTCTTTTAAGCAAAGAGCTGCCGGAAAAAAGTTTGTTGTGCTATGCATAATGACAATAAAGATTCTTGACTTGACTTGATACGGCTGCTGTTCCAACAGAATTCTTGTTAAGTGTTTGAGCCATGTAAAAAGGCTCATATTACAAGCTCGGGCAAAGCTGCCTTTGGAGCTGTACTGATATACTGACTCTCTCTGATGGTGTCAAAGGTCCACTGGTCGTTCTTGAAGAAAGGGTGTTGCTTGATATCCTCCACGCCATTCCTGCCCAGCCGCACCTCCCTTAAAACAAAGAGTGAATGAGCTGTAGAGCAATAATTAAATCTACCCTTTGTACAAAGTTCAAAAGACGCAATGGCATCAAGAAAGCATAACCCAGCAGCTAAAGCTTAAGTAAGGCTGACATCCTCTGGCCTAAAGCATCACAAATCAAACCAATAATAGACATAGTGTATGTTTGCTGTGTGCAGCTCAACATGTTATGTAATGTCTGAGTAGTGCAGTACAATTACCTCTACAAAAAAGCACCTCTATGCTCCCTTCTGGCATCAAAATTGAAACAAGTGAACTGTAACTCTTCACACCTGTCAGTCAGGAAATCACAGATGATCTTCTTGGCATCTTTGGAGATCTCTACATCATCTGGGAAGCTGAGGGAGTTCTTATAGTCCATGATTTTACTGTAGGTCCCCACCAGAGAATCGGCATAGAATGGTGTGTCACCTAAAAGCAATCACATTGTTATTATCATAAAGTATATTACAGCCAAGAAGACAGCTACCACAGGATTAGGACTACCACGCCTTATAAAGGAAATATTTACCATAGATTTACACATTTATTTCATTGATACAAACTCTCCGCTAATCTTGTAAACTCAATGGGACTTTTTAGAAATGGTCACTGACCAACAAGCATCTCGAAGATGAAGACCCCCACGGACCACCAGTCACATTCTCTCCCATAATACCCATCTCCACCCTGGGATTTCAGCACCTCAGGGGAGATGTAGTCTGGAGTCCCAACTGCTGTATCGCAGTGCACCATGCCGGTCTGAAACAAAAGATCAAGGAATCATCATGTTTCAGTATCTTTCAAGGACATCTTAACATCAATGGGTACATCCAAATTCCCTTATTTGATCATTCCTCTCAAATACACAGCTGGCTGCTGGGAGGGGCAAATTTAAGTTCTGTGACAGTTTTGCTCTTGGACTAAACTAGTATTTTTACCAGTACCGGCCAGGCTTGAAGGTCACCACATTATGTATGATAATCTTCAATGAGCTTGATTCCAATTTGTCACTCAGGATTTCTGTAGCAGAAAGTTGTGATTTTACAATAGTGTGTAGAAGCTCAACACTGTGGCATCTGCATTTCCTCTTGTAACATTGGTCAAATATTTATTCTATGCTACGTGTTTACATAAACAGATGCCTTTGAAAACATTTGGTGGCCAAAGAAATGAGCAACTTTTCATAAGCACAGTAGTGTGCCACAGTGGGGTGTCCTTGTTGGGATACAACTCACAGAGTCCATCTTCATGCACGTGCCAAAGTCAGCCAGCTTGAGGTGTCCGTGTCTGTCCAGCAGCATGTTGTCCGGTTTGACATCACGGTGGATGAAGCCCATGGAGTGAATGGCGTCTAGGGCCATCACGACCTCTGCTGTGTAGAACTTGGCCCATTTCTCCGGTACGTCGTAGGTGCTGGTGAGGTTGACCAGGTCACCTCCTGGCATGTACTCCATCACCATGTAGAGGTAGTGTTCATCTTGGAAGGCACAGCACAACTGAACAAGACAAGCACAAGCTCACATTACAGCCTTTAGTACTGATTAACCAACTAGTTACTATTAGTATCCATCTATTTCACATTACTGACCTGTATTTCATGTAGCAGTCTGAACAAAAATGAGATTTTATATGATTTTAGAAGAACCAAAGAACTTAACATAATGTATTCTGCATTTTTTTTTTTAACCAAAATCTAAATAACCTTAACAATTTAAAGCCAGACAGCGACTTAAATGTCCTACCTGCACAACCCAGGGACTGTTAGCAAAGGCCATGATGTCCCTCTCTTCCCAGAAAAAGGCAGAGTCTGAGCGCTTGATCATCTCAAACTTGCTCAGGAGCTTCATGGCGTAGACTTTCTGTGAGGCTTTATGTCTGACCTGCATGGTGGTGGTATAGATTTATTCAGGGTTGGGAAAGCAGAGAACTTGAGAGTCCCAAGAGACTAACTTCACTCAGTGAGGTACAGTTTGAACAAATGTTAAAGCACAAGTTACAAAAACGTGTAAACTGCAAGAAAAGGTGACATAAATTCATTGGCTGCTGTGACATGTTACTTAATTCAATCATAACATATGTTTTCAATTCAAAGCAGTGCAATAAGTGCACATCTTGAGTGAAGTCAATTTTAGGAATATTCACAGAGATTCTTCAAGGTGTGTAATGCATTTACATGTAATCTTCCAAAAATACCAAGGCAGAAATTTTAGCATGCCACAGTACGGTTGTTAATGACAGCTGAAAATAAAAACAATGATCAATACTCACCAACTGGACTTCACCAAATGCCCCTCGACCAATGACTTTAACTCTGTCGAAGTCTTCAGACTTCATCTGGAGGTCCCGAATTTGGCCAATGACATTTTTATCTAAATATAAATAGTATAAAGAGAATAAAGTCTCCAGTGATAATAATGTTGAGTGTGCCAATATAATGAATTTTAGTTTGAAAAGAAGGGAAATGCTCTCTCTCTCTCTCCCTCTCTAACTCTCATTCTCACTGGCACACAAAAACCACTCACATCTGTTCAAGAAGGTTTCGATGTTTTTGTTCTTACGCAGTGCAGGATAGTCCAAGTCTAAGACCAGGGCGTTCATGGAGTCCTGCAAAGAGAGAATTAAACCAGTCACTAGGGTTGCAGTGTTATACCACGGTGTGAAAATTTATGGTTATACCATACCATGAACATTTGCCTATTGAAGGAACAAACGTAATGCAGAAGAACAGAACAATATAATTAGAGGAATACAAGATACTCAGAACATAAAATTAGTCTTTATGCAGATGATTTATTATTATATTTAGAGGCTTGCATGAATAAGATGATGTTATGGGGTAGGACTGGATAAGTCTGACTTCTTCCTACTCCATTCAAACATGTACTAGGTATAAGCAAACTGATTCTGGATTAGCATTGGTTGGATTTGTGTAATTATGTGTGTGTTGATGTCATTGTTCTGCATGTTTGAAAGAATAAATCAAATCAAATCAAATCAAATCCCTATAATTCTCTACAGGAAACTTTACACATTATTAACACATTCTCTAAGATCTCAAACTAGACAATAAACTGCAATAAATCCACCATACTACCACTCTCTGAGGATGCCTGGGATTCCGCAGCTCAAGACTCCTCCCCTCAATTCTTTACAGGCAACATTAAATATCTTGGTATTAATATCTCCCCCAGGCTGTCAGAACTTTTTAATCTCAACTACACCCCCCTGCTAAAAAAGATAGAAGATGATTTAAAACGCTGGTCCAATCTTTCTTGCTCACTCACCGGCCAAAAACTGTAGCTACTGTCAAAATGAAAACTCTACCTCAAATCAACTATCTGTTTACAATGCTTCCCACAACACCCACAGATAAATGGTTTAAATCACTTGATTCTTTAACTTCACAATTTTATTGGAAAAACAAGAAACCCAAAATTTCTCTATCTACACTCCAAAAGAAGAAATCACTAGTTGGCCTAGAAGCACCAAACTTTCAATATTAGTACCTGGCAAATCAGCTACAGTATTTAGTCAAATGGATTCAGAAGGATAGTTACAACAGTGCATGGATAGAAATAGAGCAAAATTACTGTAAAAATAAGTTAAATAACTCAGTTGCAGACCTCCCTTTTCTACCAAACTCTACTAAGAAAATGAATTACTGCAAGAACATCACAATCCTCTCAACTCTGACAGCCTGGTGGAAAGTAAACAAAATCACTAAATCATCACTTGCACCATGTAGATACACTCCAATTTGGCACAACCCTGATTTCCAACTGCATAAT